AGATAACGCTGCTAGGCCACAGTACTGCGCTCACTCCTATTTACCTCTGTTGCCCCCGAAAATTTCATGTTTTTTTATGCCGTTTTCTCACTCTCCTGTTCATTTTTTCGCAGCTCTGTTCAGTATTTTACATTTTTTCTTGCTCACTCACTGCAGTCGCTATCTACACACTCTACAAGCAAAAGACGCAGAAATGTTTTTTTTTTGCTCTTCCCGTCCCTCCACTTTTGTCCTTTCACTGCACAGTAATTCCCTCTTTATCCCAGACTGACACGTTAGTCTTGGCTACCTTCGTGGATCAAGCCTTTGATGTGAAAGAAATTGTTTTATGTCACTGTGCTTCACTAAAGCGAAATCCTTTTTATGTTCGACAAAACGAAAATTTATGTTCGTTCTATCAGATGCTCACTGCGATAATGCGGTCGATAATGGGAAGCTCTTTAAAGCTTACTTGTTGTCCGGACCAGTTTTCATCCAGAATCACTTAGATTCGGACGTAAATTACCTTGTACACACATGATAAAGCACACATGGCCCAGTATTTTCGTTGTTTCCTTTCGTTGATATCAACACTATGTTGAATCTACCAAATACTTTTTAGCTGGTATTTTACTTACTATGAATATTTCGACATCTTGAAATATCGAATAAATTAATACTCTAACTTCAAAAATGACGCATTATCGACCGTAACTGTGTTATTTAAGCATGCAGGGATGACACTGAGCTTGAAATTCGTAGGATTCAGGAAGTACAAAAATTGAATAGCGAAACACAAGTCGTTGAATACATGGACGGAAGTTGGAGGAGATAGAAAAGAAGAGAATGAAACTGGCTGGAAGGTGCCAGACTTCATTAAGGAAGCAAAAACTGAGTTGATTCACAAATAAAGATAAAATTAGAGAAAAAATGCGCAGAGACTCTTTTCTGCAGCTACTACGTTTCCTGTTTTAAATGCTGGTCAGCGTATCAGAAGTAAGCTATGAATTTTATAGTTAGTTATGCAAGCAACACTGCCATACTTTCTGGATTCGACGGAGGAGGAAACGGTGAAGCAAGAGAACAGTATGTCTGCGCTCAAGCATGAATTGTCCGTTTATACAACACTTTGCGTTGAGATGAAAGCTCTTGTGAATTGCTGCGAAATCCTTGCCAGGTAGTTCTGCTTATCCCGCATATATCAACTTTTTTCTGCTTTCGAAATTAACTGTTTTTTTCTTGAAATTCTGATAAAATTCATCAAAACAGTGTTGTCTTCATCAATCCTCCATACAGGGATGAATATGCACCAATAATTTTATTGTCTTTGTGAGTGAGGTATGAAACGTCTTTAATGAGTGAGGTAATAGAGATTTTGGATGTCGGAGAAATATAGTGACAACCAACTTCGAACCGGGTTTGATATGTGCATCTGCGGGTTATAAAAATTCAAGGTAATTTTTCTTTTAGAGGTCCAACACGCACTTTCGATATCGTGAACAGCGTGAGTGATCGAGGCAGATCCTTTATTGCCGATTCGCCACAGTTTTTCGATCCTCCTACGGTGATCGAGGATGAAGGCAAAATGCATTATGCGTATGCTTTTTTTGGATAAAAAACTCTTTTATCCTGAAAAGATTGAGTGGTTTTTTTCTCCACCAATTATTTATTTTCTTTTTGTAGATAAGACACCCTGACCCCTATTATTGTCCGGATCTGTGTTGCTATCTTGGCATCCAAACTATCCTGGTCCTTTGATCTTTGTTGTTATTTCTATAAATTGCAGTAGTGTGAAAGACAAGAAAAGTGGAGCTGGATGGGATGGCACGGACAGTTCGGAAGTACAACGTGAAGCATTCCGTCGACCACGTGATGCTATACTCGTTCTGGCATCTACCTTCATTGAAAAAGCGAGCCCTCGGCTGAAGGAGCTTATCAAATTATCAGTTAACATAGAACATGTTAAAATTCCTGAATTATTCGATCATAAATGTCACGTTGTAAGTAATTTTTTCAATATCTTTTTGCAGCATTTTAATTTTCGTTGGTATTTTGGTCAGTTGTTTTTTCATCATCGTGTTTTCTTTTACTGGTGCAGTTGACCCCTTCTCAGAACCATATTTTTTTTAAAGAACTAGTCAATTTAATTAAAATTAATAATATTTTCGTGAAAAGCTGTATGAGAATGCGCATTGTCGTTGGCGTTTCACTCTTGAACAAAATATGTGAGATTTGATTTATAAATACTCTGTTTGCGGAGCAGTGCTGATTACTGATAATACTAGTATCTGTGGTGCAATAAAAATGTTGCTGAATTCAGAAACTGAGTGAAATCGCGCTCGCATTGTTGAAAGTTGCACCCTACGATCTTAATACGATGGCTTGCCTGGGATTGCAAAAGTAAGTTTTCTTGCAACTGCTAATTTATTCCCAGACATATTTGCTATTCACTTTGAAAAAGTTGCATTTTCATTTGAAAAGGGAATTCAGTTCAGTGGGCCTATTTGTAAGTGATAATATCCTAAGACACTTTAACTGTTCTCAACTTCCAAAAAGTTAACAATTTTTCTTAGCTTTAGTTGAAAGATACTGAAAAAAATAGGAAATATGAATAACGTGATACCTAAGCTGTCAAGCGTGGTCAAATTCTCGTTTTTCCTATCTTTTTTGACCTCAGGAAGGGATTTTGGAGAGGAATTTTTTAAAGAGCGATTGCTATGCTCTAGTGCGTTTTGCTGTAGTATAAATTTCCATAATTCTCCTTCACAGTTTTTCATCTTAGTCAGTGATTTTATACTTGCTGTCTGATTTAGGATCGTACTGTACTTTAACTGAGTTCATTTTTAACTGGATTTGAGAACTGCACTCGTAACAGGTACTTCACCGTGATTCTTCCTGTCACTGACTGGTCCGTGGAAGGTAATCGATCAGCGCTCAATTTTGTTTTGCGACGGTTGGACAAAACCATACAAAAAATTGGCAAAAAAATGGTACTTCGGCGGCGTACAAATTGGGCTGCGTTGACGAGCTGGCTAAATGGATTGTATCAGACGTTGGTCGCCTATCCCTATATCGCACATTTGCATCCGCTCAAGGTTTCATTCCTTCAAATAAGTTGCACTTCATTCGCTCGGCCTCGCCATACGTTGTTGCGATGGTGGAAAGCGTAGACTATCGTTTTATAAATTTGAGAAACTTTTAAGTGATTTGCTTCCGGACACTTCTGATTGAGTCCTCAGTTAATTTGCGTGGTTTCTTCGTATAGGCAACTTCGCTGTTTTTTTTACTACATGTCAAAGATCCATCCTCACTGATCTTCTGTGCGCTGGAATTGGGATTGCGCAATAAAAAGGAGTTCTGGATTGGGAGTTTTGCAAGATTGACAGTTAAATTCAGTTCTTCAGTTTGCTCCAGCACATACTTGTAAAGTTAGTAAAAATTTGTATCTAGAGCTTTGACGCGAAGCAGAGAAAGGAGGAAGACCGACTGCACGTTTATGGTTTAAATAACACGCTTAACTGCCAAGGAAGAAATTGTAGTTCTCTGGCTGGTTTATTTTTATGCGTTTTTGCTGTGCAGCTACAGCCAGCAAAAATGCATTTTGTCGAGAAGCTGTGTGGGTATTCGAAAGCGACTGCATTTTGTCACCCACTCATTTCAGCAACCAGCAAGGCTAGGAGGCTGATACTTTGGGCATATGTTCCTACCCGGTGTGTCACTCTCCCGTTTCAAGATCATCCCCCACACGAACCTCGACCTCGCGTACGGACCCCCGAAAAAATATGCAGATTCCTTTGGCGGGAAACGATTTTGCGAACCAGGCAAGGTACAAAGCTGAAACTTTGCAGGAATATTCCATGTCCATGCGCGAACTAAAGATTTCAAATTCAGCTGTCGCGCTCTGCAGCGCGCACGATCTCATCGAAGTTTGCAACTTTGTACTGTGCTAACTCGAAAATTTGCCGGAAAGCAGTACCTGAAATTTTGTCAGCATATTTGTCGCCATACGGGAAATCGTATACCTAAAATGAGCACTGATTTGCACTTGCGTCACGACTTATGGCACTTCAAAGATATTTGTAGCGAAGTGGATATTTCGCTTGTCGGATAAGTCGCTGGGATGTTCTACTCTCAAGTGTAGCCGTAATTCTGCTTGGAGGTGAAATTCCCCGCAGGTAGGCTTGAGAAATACTTAACTTTACCGAAAAATCAGAAACGAGTGCGTTTTCCACGAACGACCGCCCTCATCCAAATATGTAAATGAACATTAGTTCATATGCTTACTTGGGTTTTTTGGCAAACGACCGCTCGAGCAATACTTCCACTTTTTAGTGAACTTGAAATTTGCATTTTTTTAAAAAGCGAGCGTTTTTCGAAAAAACGACTCAGCTTCATGCAAAAAACTGGGAGTCATGTACCTGGGGGGTCCATGCGGCTCTATGGTGCAACACCTTTATCCCAACCGATGCCCATTCTGCTGCGTGCCGGAAGAAACCAAAGCATGGCCAATATGAGCCCAAGTGTTTGGGTTCAACGCAGAGATTATTCTTGCTGTTAGCGACCCGCGAGTTTAGTGCAAAAACGCATGTCTTACCGGCAAGCCTGGTGCGTTCCAGTCCGGGTTGTAGTTGTTCATCACGCTAAGCGCATGTGACGCCAAGTAATAGAAAGGAAGGCACATTTTTATGCGTTTTTGCGTATGTGCGAAAACGCGTATTGGCAAGAGGCTGTCTGTGTGTGTCTGTGTGTGTGTCTGTATGTTCGCACTTTTTGTCACCCACTTGCAACTCGAGAACCAGAAAAGTTAGAAAGGTGTAACTTTGGGAGTACGCGCTACACCATGCGCAATCCTCCCATCTTAATGTCATCGTCCGCCTGCACCTGGCTTCGGCGTACGAAGATCTTAAAGAAATATGCAAATTTTTTGTTGGGAAATCGATTTCGGGAAACAGACAAGGTAAGGGGCTGAAACTTTGCAGGAATATTCCCCGCGCATGTGTGAGCTAAGGATTTCAAATT